AAAAAAAAAAAAAAAAAAAAAAAAAAAAAAAAAAAAAAAAGGCAATCACCTCACTACCAGCCAAAAAACACAACCCACTACATAAGGAGGGTGGGTGGCTGCCCCCTTTCTGCACAGCCTGCTTGCGTGAGCTGTGCAAAAACTGAGACAACACCAAGCAAACGGCTGTGCCAAAACTGCCGTGCCCAAATTGCCGTGGTAAGCCCCTGTTTCCTTCGGGCCAGGTCGCTTTCACTCCCCAGAGCCATTTTAAATCGCCTGCAAAGGACCAGGAGATCAACCCTGGTCCCCATGAATGGCTGGCAAGAGGGTCCTTTAGTGCCCTGGGCTTCTTGGTTTTCCACTGTTTTCTATCTACTTACACAGTGTCTGACTTCCATACAAGCTCTCTCTGTTAAAAGAAAATCTCATTACCTTCTTTGGCTACTTCCCTGGGCTGTTTATTTACATTTTTTCCCACTTGCCTGCCTCAGCCTGGACCCTAGGTGATCCACTTTTCCCTCTGAAGCAGCTAGGTTTCCCCAAAGTAAACTTGAACCTGGTTTTTGTTTCGTGGATTTTTTTCCAATTCCATCTGTTTTCATGCCAATTTGTGCCCTAGACTGTCACCAGGACATTTTGTTCTTCCTTACTTCAGTCTTAGGGATGGTTTTAGCTCCAAGGCCACTGTACTGCTGTCAGAGAAGCTTTTGACATCTCAGAGCAGAGAGGACTTTTTCATATAGTGCAGGATCCTTTCCCTCTTAGGACATTTTACCACCATGCACTGGGATGGGACCCAAAAATCTCTGGATCATGAGAAGGTCTCTCCAGGAACTTGCTGTCTCCCTCCTGCACAACAAAGTCCCTCCCCCTCTCAGAGCCTCTGTTTTCATCCATATAAAACCTTGAATGTCACTGAAGGGATGTGGTTCCTGAATTAATCCATTTCCTTTGGAAGTGCTCTAGGATGCTCTTGTGAAAGACAGAGTAAGGAATAGGGCAGGTCCAAAATAGAAGAAACAAAGAGTGATGATGCTGGTAACACATAGCTGCAACCCAGCATCGTCTCCCCTTCCCAGGAAAGTCCTGCAGTGGGTGCTCCGTGATCTTTATCTGCCCCCCCCGAGCAGCTCAGTGGTGGGAAAAGCCAGTTGAGGTGACTGGTGGATTCTCCCTCAGTTTTGGCAGAGGCTTTGAGCCAGGAGGTTCTCTTGAGGGATGCTGGCTTTCCAAAACTCTCCTGAGCTTGCAAGTGTGGAGTAAAACTACCTGCTGTCCCTGTGGACAAGTTATCCTCTGATCCATTTGGGATCCCCATGGCTTGGGGTCAGCCCTTGCTGGGGAGCTGCTGCTGATCCTTCCCAAGAGCTGTGCTCTCCTGCACTCACACTTCTCTCTGCAAGTATGTGGCTTATTAAACAACCTGCTGGCTTTGTCTCTCCCTGTGACTGCAGGCAGTGCTATTTGCTATGGCCACGGAATGAGGTGTGGCTGGAAAACTTCTTGGAGGAAGAAAAAATAGGGCTGAGGAAGGGCTATTGTGATCGTGCTGCCCTCCTGAGCCAGGAGAAGATGCAAAAAGTGCAAGAAGACCCCATGCTCTTCTCTGATGACATTTTTTCCATTGAGCCATTGGTAAGTGATGGCTGACAACCGAATTTTCCTCCTCTTCCTCCTCCTCTTCCTGCTGATAAACGCCTGGTGTCTGCACAGTACAAAACCCCTTCTCATCTTGGAGTAAACCCTAGAATAATCCTAACCTCTGCTTTCTTTCAAAACAGTTAAACTAATATTTGTATTTCCAAGGAAGGGGATAATGTTCTCTTCTTGAGAAGAGCCACCAGTGCACAATGGCAGTTGCATACCACTGTAGCTGACAGCAGCATGATGTGACCAAGAGCCTGTGTCAGAGCAGTAGGAATGTTGTGGAGAGTGGGAGCTGATCAGCTGAGCATTAAGAGCTTCCAGCAGTGTGTTGAGCTGGGGTTTGGAGTGTTTCCTAGGGCTCCTTGTGTTGTTCACTCATCATTGATGCTCTAAATAAAGGCTTACGGGACTGTGGTTGAAAACAAGAAATGCGAAGTTTGAAGATTAATGCTTTGCTGTCTCTTTCTGATTTAGGAGGGAGAGATCAAGCCAAAATGTTCGGCCGAAATCAAGGTGACCTTTAAACCCCTAGAAGCACTAGGGTATCTAAGTGTGGCTTACTGCAGCATCTCAGGTACAGCTCCTTTCCCCTGCTTCTCTCACCCACAGTGAAGCCATGGTGCAAGGCCGAGCCCGCTGGGCTCCCCTGTAGCTGTTGGGAAGAGTCCCTGGTCAGCAGGGCAGTGCTGGCACATCCCCACTGTCCCTGCAGCTTCCATGGAGTCTCTCGTGCAAGGCCAGGGCTCAGA